TGACTATTATGAAGGTTTTACCAGGAATTCGAAGAAAAGGGGTTGACAGTTACTAATGATATACTGAGAAATTTATGAAAAAAGGGGGTGACTTGTCACCACTTTTACCACCCCTGGATTTGCCCCTGGTCTAGGTGACTTTCCAGTTTATTTAAGAATAATTGTTTCATATTTTTTTCATTCTAGTGTCTCAAGTAAATAGGGAAGCCAGCACGATCAAGGAACAAAAGGATAAACAGATTGCTGAACTGAAATCACTGGYTGAACAGTCTGGGGAAAGTGCTCTAAACGACTATGAGAAAAAAGTTAGTAATAATACAATGGACTACTTCAGCGATACGGCAGCCATCTTGCCATGGAGCAAAATAAAACAAAGATGCCGGAAAATATATGGAGTTTTATGTGTTTGTTGAGTCTTTCTGACTCTTGTTTGTGCAGTGGGGTGATCTAAGTCAGGGCATAGATAACTCACAGATCCAATTGGAATTTAGTTGTTTTTTTTAGGAGGGGGGGGGGAGTGGAGAACCCTGAAGAAAAACCCACTCATCAAGGGAGATACCCATCAAACTCTACTCACATTTGATGCCGAGTCTAGAAATTAAACCTAGGCACTAACTCTATGCCACCCTTGATTCCTGGTTGTCTATTTACCAGGTACGATTTTGTTGTATTTTCACAGCTGAATGACAAGATAGCAGAATTTGAAGCAGAAAAGTTTGAAATGCAAAAACAACATACAAACAACATCCAGGAACTGCTGGACGAGACCAATCARAGACTACAGAAGATGGAGGCTGAATATAACAAACAGTCAGAAAATACAGTATGTATGATGAAAATAAATGCAACTTTATCTTGATTCTTAGCTCAATCCAATGACCTCTGAACTTTGAACACAGGGAGCCCAAGCTTAGCTTTTATTTATTCATTATACTACAGTAAATTAATGCACMTTTCCTAAATTCACTTGAGCAATCACAAAACAATGGTTCCAAGTCAAGGTTGTACTTGATGTGTTAATAAATTAATCCTATTTTATCATTTTCATCGTSGACTTTGAGGCTTTGTTTCATGTGTGCACAAGGCCAAAATGCATTATGTGTGGACAGGGCCACCGATGACCAGAGTTAACATCATTGATTTTAGGATCTTTTACTATCTATTTAATGAATAATGTGATCATAAGTTACACTTTGTTATCATGAGTTGGACTTTGCTATCATAAGTTAGACTTTGATGATGATATTTGATTTTCCCCAGGCTTTAGTTGTGCAGGAACTTGAAGCCAGAGTACATCAACTAACTGAGGAATCAGAAGCACTACAGAACTCAAGAATGCAACTGGGAAGAAATAAGGTTAGTGTARCATTACCTGGAAACTATTTTACATTTGTTAAAAAGCAGTGTATAATTAAGTGTTTAAAGACTGGGTGACGGAATGAATGAATGAAAAAGTGAATGAAAGAAAAATTGGCTAAACTGACTGGCTACTACTAACAGCAGACCCRTACATCTCACGCTGTGGTTGATGGGATTTAGTGAGTTCACCATTGTTGAGGCGTAATAAGACCCCATTGGRGGGGGGGGGGGTTAGGGGGAACCGTTAGGGGTACCCATGTCCTTCGTCTGATTTTCACAACTGCCTATGTCACAATTTTGGAATGTTCTTGTTTCACTTGTCAGAGTCTTACCCACAGGGCCTTCATGTTGGTATTTCATTAGAGCTGTCTGTCATTTGTCACTAGTGCATAGCTCTCATGTTGCCATCTCAAGGCCATGTTGCTTGTCTAAATTTACCCCTCACAGGACCTCAGTAATGGGTAGTGCAGTTTATTTGAATCAAACCTAAGATTTGAAGTAAACACTGTATTCAATTATTGTTCCTTGATGCATCATCATGCTTTATGTATATGCAGGAAGAGCTCGCTGATAAGGTGGTCACACTGACAAATGAGTTGAAAGATGCAAAATCAATGTACGTATGTTCAATATTTCAGCTATGCTGGTGATAGCCTTCTTCAGAAGGATGATGAATGTGAATAGGGAGCTGTGGAAAGGCTATTATCCTGTTACCACTTCCARAGAACAATAGAACCACTCCACTCTAATCTAGTACCTCTTTGCACACACCCCATCTTTGTTTTCATGGTGTTCCCACAGCTCCCTATTCACATTCATCATCATTCTGAAGAAGGTTATCACCAGCATAGCCGACATATCAAGTCATGACTAGCCTTAGTGTTGAGCACTGTAAGGGAAGTACCATATTAGTTTGTTTAGCTAGTGGCCAGATCAAACCAAATGTCCCTTATCTTATCTGCATACAGGATGCTCTTTTACTCAGRGGAAGGGCTAGCGTCAGTAAGTTTTTTCATCTTTTCACAGTGTAAAATTTACCCTTTTATCATTACTGCATACAGGATATCAAAATATGAAAGGGATCATTCACGGATGATGACTGACCATCAGTCAACTATCCAACAAATACAGCGCAAGACTGATTCTTCTATTGAGCTGTTGAAAAAGGAACATGCAGCTGCTACGGCAAGGGTAGGTAAAATTATTGATTATGCAGGGTTAAAAATAACTGGTCAGTCGCCGGTCATGATGACTAGCCAAATTAATTTTAGCTCTGTTATACCTTGTTTCTTGCTCAGCAAGAGTAGTCAAAATGAAAGCAAGCCAAAGATTTGTCCAAACATGTTCTAATTATTCCACGGTTACATTATTTTTAGCCCTGTGAATAAGTCCTTAAGTGAACTTGAAATACATTATCTGCTAACCTTATGTGAGTGAGTGAAATGAGTTTAGCATGATATCAGAAATTATCAAGATTTGTGTTATCTACCAAAACCACRGCCTCAGGCAAATAACTAAAATCTTGATATCTTGTGAATTTCTTTCAAGAATTATACTTTATGATTATAACACATTTTGATAACTGAAATGATCTTTCATAAGCAAACCTTCTCTCCAGCTGAAAATGCACACTGCTAAATATTAGTATAGGAAACTGCACAATCTTGAGTACAATTCGGAATTTATAGGTTACTGATACAAGTGATGTTTTCTAAGTTTCAAAATTGGACGAACCTTTAGGCGAGTTCAATTTGAGAACTTTCAAAACATCACGAAATTTCGAATTGTATGAGAAGATTGTGWGATATTTTGCTTATAATACACTCAACAAAATTGAGCAACTTAATTGCCCTAATTCACTATGACGTTACATCAAAACAATCTTCAACAATCTATTGTTTAAATGCAAAGGATCATGGTCATYGGACGGGGTCAAATCAACGCAAATTCACCGAAAATTGTTCTAAAACCCGCATCAATCCACGAAGAGAGGTAGATTAGCCAGCAAACACTCAGAATAATTTTTAGTACATATTAACACATATTATATCTGAAAACCAGGTCATTTTAGATTAAACTGTTTCGCTAGGAGCAAATTTTGTTGAATTTTCTATTGGATTTGGCGATTCTATCTCCCACATAAACAAGCAGTGACGTCATAGTGAAATAGGGCAATTGGGACTCTACAGAGTACGATTTGGGATTTAATAATTAAATTATTAAATCAATTAATTAATTTAATTAATTAAATAAATAAATGATTAAATTATTATTATTATTATTATTATTATTATTATTATTGTACTCCTCTTGTCCAATCAGAATCAAGTAATTTTGTTGTGTATTATAAGATTTCGATTTTGTTTTATCAAGAAAAGTTTTTTCTTTTTTAATTTCGTTCGTTCATTTCTTTGGGAACTGACTTTGGAATTTTTTTCTTGATTGGAGCTCCTAATTTTTTTTTCTGAGATTAATTTGTTTGATAAAAAACAATTCAAATCTTCAGACGCACCGCTGTTTCCATTTGAATACAAATGACATGATAAATGTATTGTCTGCATATTTTTTTTTTACGGATAATACGTTTATCATATCGTAGCCAATCAGAGACGAATAATAGATGAGGTTAATATCCATTTTAATTACTATCTCGCCTCTGATTGGCTTGTAGCTAAACCTCTCTACATGATAAATGTGTTATCGGTGTAAGATTCATACAATATGCAGACAATACATTTGTCATGTCTGGTTTCACTAAGTCATAGCAGCTGTTGAAGGTTTGACGCTATGGAGATGACAACACGCTTTGCTTGTGTTTCCGAAGAAGAATTAAATCTACTACTGGAAAATAAGGATGCAAAAAATACCAAAAGAGCGACAAAGTCAAGTGTTAAAATATTCAAAGAGTACTTGAGAGAAAAAAGCTTAGAAGAACCAGAGGACAAAAGGTCATTAGCTGTAGTTTTAAAGTCGTTCTATGCCGAGGCGAGAAAAAGCGATGGTACATCATATTCCAAAGGTTCTCTGAATTGTCTAAGATTTGGACTGAACAGACACTTCAAGGCTGTTCAAGGGATAGATATCATCAATGATTCTGAATTTACTGGGGCAAATAAGGTCTTTCTAGCAAAATGTGTTGATCTGAAAAGACAGGGGCTGGCAAAGGTTGAGCACAAACCACCCATTCTAGAATGYGATATTAAAAAGTTGTATGAATGTGGAGTGTTTGGCTTGGATGAACCACGAACCCTGCAAAACAAGGTCTTCTTTGAGATTATCTTGTTCTTCTGCCGTCGTGGMCGGCAAAATCTCCGAGAGTTAAAAATAACTGATTTCTTATTCGGCCGTGATGAGAAAGGCTCCAGATACGTGTGTCAAGCAGGCAACGAACTACAGAGAAACAGAAGCGAAGACGATGTGGACAATGAAGTTGAAATAATGCATGAAAAACCTGGCCCAATCTGCCCTGTTGGCTCGTTAGAGCTTTACATATCCCATTTAAATCCAGACAACCATTTTTTGTTTCAAAAACCGAAAAAAAATGCAAGAATCGGAGTTGATGACATTTGCTATGATAACATGGCTATTGGAGCACGCATGCTTGGAGATAAAATGAAGGCTATCTCGCGAGAAGCAGAACTCTCGAAAATTTATACGAATCACTCTATTAGAGCGACATCCATAAGCACATTAGATATGTTTGGTTTGGATGCACCACGCGTTATGGCGATCAGTGTTAAAAGCGAAAGCAATGTAGAAGTGTCAGAACCTATCGTGACTGTATCACTTGGAACTCCCCCCAATGTGGAAGCTGTAAGTAACGACATCCTTTCACTGTCACGCGACGACGAGTTTACTGTTGGTATCTYCCTTCACCATGAGTCGCATAAGTTTATGGCTATCAAATTTTCCGTCAATCTTCATCGGTATCTTCTACTCTCGGATTGTTTTTTTTTTTCCTTTCTTTTTTCGTTTCTTAGGATTTTTGTGTGAGAAATTTTGTTTGAACCATGCACACAGAAACATTATTAACCCTATTTTTTAAATGTGCTGACAATACATTTATCTTAAGTTGTAAGAAGGGCTACGTTYATCTGTCGTAGACGAAAGCGACGATGAAAGCCCAGATTTGTTTTTGAAGCAGAATCTCAGTATACGAAATGTATTTCCATCGACCTCTGAATGGCTAAAAATTAAATAGATTTTCTCTGATATTTTAAAATATCAAGACGTTGGATCTGTGCATCCGCATGATCACACGGCTACGTTGCGGCGATCTTGATAATTTAYGATATCATGTTYAACCTTGTTYAATATTTGTCTTTAGTCAAATCCAACTAGTGGTCTATCATCAATGCTGCATTCTGATTGGATGAGCTACTATTAGGCTATATGTCATTAGCTTACTAGTAGGGAAAAGTGTCGGCTTTGAAAACCAACACGTTAAATTTAACTTTAATTTAAAACTTGTTTGCATCTAAATATTTGAATAACTAGTTGGATTGGAGTAAAATTATTAGTCCCCTCGCCCTCATGGGCTATTGACTCAGTCCATTCCGCTGGACATAGTATTTAATCTTTCATTTATGGTCTATAGTCTGCAGATGCCATCTCGGACCTTGAATCTCAACTTGCCCAAACAAAACAAGCGCTACAAGATGCCGAGTACCAGCGACAGAAACAAGTCAGGGTAAGGAACAGCAAGAGTTATATTGTCATTATATACACTTGGTACTCT